CAAATAAAGTGTAAAAAAAATCAAAATACAAAAAGATTAAGATTCTACAGGGTCAATTCATTCCCACAGACACACAGCTACAGATATTTCCTTGTGATCAATATTAATTCCATTCTTAAGGCGATACTAAAAGGTCAAAGAAGGTTGTCAGGCCATCAAAAAGTGTCGGTTTGTTTCTTTTTTTTTTTTTTAAATCTGTTCTCCTCTGGAAGGACTAAAGCTAAGAGGAATTCAGCAGTGTATGGTATTTTGTAAATGTAGCTACAGATTTGCAGAGACTGTTTGGAAAAGAAAAAAAAAAACCACCACAAAAACCCCCAACCCCCCCCCCCCCAAAAAAAAAAAAAAACAAAAACGAAAACAAAAACAAACTAAAAAAATCCAGATTGCAAGAAAGTGTCCCTGTCACAGAGTCTACAGAAGGCTGAAAAAAAACACTCAGACACCGGACAAACTATCATTTCAGAGGGAAAAAATATCTCACCAGTAAGTGCCAGACAGAAAAGAAACTCTACTTACAACGTAGTGGATAACAACCTGTACCATGCAAACCAAGTTAAATAACTTTATTGCCCCTGGGAGCATCATTTAGGCTAAACATCAAAAACCTGCTGGCATTCCACTGAAAAAAAATGCAAATTTCCAGCCCAGAACAGTTATTTCTCCTATTTCTAAGGCTGAAATGATTCTGTCCCCATGCAAGTGAGTTGTTGAACAACTTTTGTGAACAACCTACTCCTGGTAGGATGCTAGTGCCCTCTGCTGTGCAGTATTACAAATCAATCAGCACCTTTCTTTCTTGTAAAATTACGTTCAGCTGTACTCCAAATGATATCAAGCCATATAAATACAGCAAGTCAAGGATTTCCATCGTCAAGCAAACATTAAAGAAAAACAATTCTGGCAGACATTCAGTATTACTGTAAAGAAATATCTAAGTATTAACTTCAAAAACATTCTGCGGACTACCACGTGGAGCTGCATACTGTAAAATAATCCAAAATACTAACCTAATAAGATTAAAACAGTCCGTTGGTTTTCAACAAGCAAAATGGAATTTTATTTAACAGGAAATAAATTTTTTTTAAAAAAACCTCTTCAGACTGAATTATCTCCATATAGATTCAGGAAATTTAACTGTAAAATTAACAACTGGTATTACTGATTGCAGCTCCTCCAAATGCCAGTATAGACTAGTAAAACCCTCAGTTACATCTTCAGTATCATCATCAGTTCATTTATATTTCCTTCCTCTTCCATTCTGTTTTTCTTTTCTTGTATTTCACAGAGTTTGTTCACCTTTCTAGGGCAGGTTTCAGTACCTCTAGTAGTGTTCACAGAAACATCAGGGAAACAAGATGTCCAAACAAAATGGAAACTTCAGGAAGATCTTTAAATTACAGGTAAAACTGGTTGTGCCACAGGTGGTTGTTTGACACTTTTCATTTTTAGACTTTCTTTTTCTTCTGATGCCTCACAACTATTTTCAGTGTCAGGACAGAATGCTTAGCACGTCCTTTAGCTTCAAATACCATAGTGAATTTTATCAAATTATTTACTAATTTTTAAGTGTTTTATTAAGTACTGTATTGCTCTTATTAAATCATTTTTTACATAATTGTTTTGTCAAGAAACTCCAACCCATTCATACTATGCAAGAAAAACTTCTAGTTAAGTAAAAGACTTGTTCTTGTGTCAGTCTTAAAATTCCTCTGGAACACAGGCTACATTTGGCCACAACTACAACTCCCTCACGACATCTAGAAATGAATATGTATTATTAGCCTTCACCTTCCAAAACATACCCTGAGGAATAAATCAGCAACAGTTTATTTGTAAAACACCTGCTGAAAAAAATCAGCTTCAAAACTTGAGTGACAGAATGGAGAGCGAAGCTTGCAAACGATGGAGGAGAGCAGCCTCTAATGGTCATATCAGTAAAAATGGTATCAGTTTCGTGAGTTGTATCTATTGCTTGCCTTGGTTATGGGAATTAAGTTTACTCAAATGCAATAAAACTTTAGAAGCTTTGCATACATTGAGCTCTACAAAACTAAATCATTTGAACAGATCAGTAATTTTAGGACTGATTTTATCATTACCAATACATGTGTCTTATCTTTTAAATATCTCTAACACTGAACTACGTTGTTATTTGAAAGTCCACAAAACTCTGCTTCTACTACAAGAATTGACAGCAATAAGCATTACTTGGGATTTCCCTGCCAAAAGACATTTTAAAGGGTGGTTGGGGGGTGGAATTCAGGCTGTTCTATTTGCAATTGATTCAGAAAATAATTCAATTGGGTGGAGCGTATCTTTGATCTCCTAACTGGGTCGTTTTTTGTTGCATTCATCAGCATTTTAATAAATCTCCTCAGGACGGTCTCATCTGAAAATCTCTTTGCCCATAATAAACTTCGCAGAGGTCATCATAACCATCTGGAAAAGCCTTGTGGCTTCTTTAACTGAATGTAGGTTTCTAACTATGCAGTTTTACAAATGATGCTGTGAACTTCTGAAACATGTCTGGACTTTGTCTCTTGTTGACATTACGTTCCCAGTGGGAACAGAATCTTTGCACTTCACAAACAGAAGGAGAACAAGCAATCCAGGAACACCTTGATGGCTAGATGTGGTTTTGCTCTCCCTCTCAGAAAGAACATTTAATCAGTTCAAGAAATTAGCATGCTGACCACCAACACCAGGCAAAAGAAGACAGCATTCAAAGGCAGCCTCCTATTTGGCTGTGTTTCTCCTTGTGACACAAAGCCAAAACAAGGGGAAGAGAAGCCTCCCATTATTCAGGGCATAGATGAGTTTGCTAATGCATCCCTCCACCTGCAGTTTACAAAAGCACTGAAGACACTTTAATGATGGAGTGAAAAGAAGCAGATGGGGTGAAGGCAGGCAGGCTAACTGGAGCCTAGTTAGAGCACAGCCCATGTGCAAGGCTGGAGATCACCAGTCAGATTTCAGAACAGGTCCTCCTTCCCCAGCTGGGTGAAAAAGGTCTAATTGCTTTTCTGCTGGGAAAAAAGTTGTACATGCAGCATCACCTGTACTCTCAGCTCAAACTCGTACAAGAGTAGAATAACTCTCCTCACAGTTCACTACTGGCATTTTTATTATTTGTACATTGCCTCACCATACTGCTAGTGGGATAACCTGCCTCCCATTGTGACCCTTGCTGCGGTGCTCCTTTCCCAGCTCGCTTTCCCATATTTCTTCTTATCTCCCACTATTATGCCTTCCCCACGCTTTCTTCATTGTTTTCATCCCAGTTCCCATTCCTTCCTAGACTTTGCAGTCCCTTGTGGGAGGCTCTTGGAATTAAATAGTAAACAGTGCCACAGTTACCCTTGACAGCTGTTGGGAGTGTTTTCAGTAGGCTTCCCAATGAACAGCCCAAATGAGAGTCATGAAGATAATGGATAAGTCCCTGCTGCACAAGAGAGTTCCTGCAAACTCAGACAAGACAGGAACACATATGGATTCACACCAAGCATTCTCCTCACAAGCCTATCAGCTAAAACATGCTGCTGTTAATAATTTCAGCTCTGCAGAATCAAAACATATCCTGTGGGACAAACAGAAGAATTGGAAGAACTAGTGCCAGCCTGCACAACTAGGGATCTTTAGTCCTTGGTAAGCAGCAGAAAAATAGGATTGGAATTCAGGTCTGTCCACTAGTCCCAGTTCAGCTTCTGCTGGATGCTCTGTTACATGCTCAGAGTTTTCCAGCTCCAGCTTTAAGAAAGCAAGATCAGATTTACAGAGGTGCTAGCTACTCAGGTGCCACTGATGGCCGTGGGAGCTGAGAGTCTTCAACATCTCACAAAACTAGAGTGAGCAGCAGACACCTGAAAGTGATCAGCCAACACCTGAAAGTGATCAGCCTGAATTAGAGAAAAATTGTTTTAGATTTGATCTCTCCAATTCTTATATATACCACAATCTCTGTATGTACAGACAACAACAAAAAAAAATCCCACCCACATTGAGTTTCAAAAGCTTCTTCAAAGCCCTAATTTTATTATCATGCTTACAATCCCAAAATGCCAAGTTCTTCCCTTCCCGTCTATTTACTTACAACGCCTTATGGACACAACAGCACTGATGCAGCAGTAATTTTTCCTCACTCATCAGTAATGAAAACAACTATCATAACCAGAAAGCCTCCTCCCAAAACCACAAGGGAGCTGGGTAATGTCGAGCCCTATGCCATAGATCTGAGCAGAGTGTTTAAAACCACCCTGTCTATAACTGTGGCTGCTGTACTATATTCAGTGAACATTTGCCAGGCCAACAGCAAAGTCAGTAAAGCATACAATTTTACCTAAGGAGAAAGAAAACTGCATACTAACCCAGAGTAAACAATAAATCAAGATACTGATTGCAGTGTATGTGTGCATGCTCTGTTTCCAGAGAGGGAAAAATACGTATTATTCATTAATATCAACATATGAAATAGTTTAGCTAGATTGTGCTCTGTTCCCCAACACAGCTTCAGCCAAGACCAGAACTCCAATTGGTCTTATTAAGTCAGAGATTCTGCATCCCCTACTCACAGATAAAAATACTTCAAGCAACCAAAACACAAGGCCCTACAAGTAAATACCAGAGAGTCCTACCTTGGATTTATTGAGCTCATCATTCCACATTATTACTAACAGAGTACAATGACTTTACCGGTCTGCCACAGCTCCATTAGCCAATGCTTGTTCATCCAATATATCACTAAAATTTAGATTTTAATTATGGCATGTCAGGCGAAACTATGCGGTTCAACCTCAGAGAGTGATTCCTTCCAATGAACCCTAACTTCTGCTAAAGCAACCACATGGAGTTAACAGGATTTGCAAAAACAGCCCCAAAACACCCACCACAGAAATTATGCTATTCCCTTGTAGGAAACAGCCAGGAGAGCAAGTAAGACAAGTGACTGATTACAGACGCACTCACCCACTTTCAGTCTACCACCACACAAAAATACTCACAATAAATCCAAGTTTCTTATAGTCTCGAGTATACATAGATTTGCGTTTCTCGATGCTGCCGCTGCTGTTGTTAGGTTCAGATTCTGCATCAAACGCAATTCTTCGGAGTTCAAAAATTATATCCCGTTGAGCCTATGTTAAAACAAGGTTAAAAAAAATGAATGGTGTAAGCACTCCTAACAGTGTCTTTTCCTCCATAAAGAGCTTTAGGCACAGTCATGAGCAGTTGTCCTCTTCCTGTTCCAACCAGATCACGCCAGATGCTTACCTGATCCTGTGGATCCATTTTTGTCATCATTCTGTCTTCCAGAAGGTTAAAGGTAAGAACTTGGAGAACATAAAGCTGGTGTGCCATTTCATTATTGATGGCCCTCTGTGCCCTGATAACATGCTGTAAAGAAAGGGAGACTCCCATGAATGCCATCGTACCAGAAAATTACATTAGGTGCACCCCGGTGTTCCCATTTCTGTAAGTCTGTGTTTTCTATGCAGTAGTGTTGTATACTCCTGGAAAAAGATCAAACTAATGCTACTGATTTAGGTACCACATAAGCAACTTTAAGGGACAAAACTTTATAATAACAATGCACCGAAGCTTTCTCCTTCTAGCTATTAGATAGAGCTTGTGCATATGTTGAGACGTGGCATTAAAAAAAAAAAAAATCAGTCCTGAGAAGTCACTTAGAAGAAAAATTAACTCCTGGACCAAGACCATTAGAGCTCTCTATAAAAAAAAAAAGAGAGCATATTAAGAAAATATTTAAGAGAGTAGCCGCCTGAGCCAAAAAGTATTCAGGCTGCAAACACAACCAGCGAATACATGACATAGCAGGGCTGTGGCTGCAGGAGTCAACACCGCAGCACGATCCTGTGTCTACCAGACAGCTCCATTCTGTATGATGAAGACTGCTCAGAAATACATTAGCATGCAATGTCCTATATGTGCAGAATTACCCCCTTCAGAAAGCAGACACCAATGGACAATTTAAAAATTCCCGGCGTGCCAAAACCCACTAAGTACTTCTAACCAGGAAACAGAGCCAGGTCACTAAACACAGTGGAGTACACATCAGGGGAGAGTCATCAAGTCAGAGATGGATACAGCAACTAATATCGTACAGCTCCAGAGAACAAAAGAATGTCTGCCAAAAGGCACTGGAGCATTTTATGATAGTAAATTAACACCTAAGAATATTAACCATATGCTTATACCAACTTTCTTACAAACACAAGCAGTGCAACAATATGCCTTCTGAAACAAACTCTGGTTTTCTGTATGAATCATCGAAATTATGACAGCAAATGAGAAAGAGCGAGGGGTTGCTTGGTTGTTGGTTGTCGTGTGGTTTGTTTTACACTGGCTAGTATCTTCCTTTCTCCAAAGAAAGAAAATGCTCAAGGTATTATTATTTTACTCAATATTGGAGTTTCATGAAGAAATCACAATTTATTTGACTGAGAAAATACCCTTTCTCATAATCAGGTTTGAACCTCTTCAACAACCAAACCTTGATCTTCTATATTACAAGCTTCTATATTACAAGCTACATATCAAAACACAAATGTAATTAAAATATATTAAGATAAAACCTATCCGCACCATACCTGGAGTCACCTTTTCTTTCTACTGGTGAAAAATAACTTTCAAAATTATATACTTACAGTTAAGATGATGGAGCGAAGTTGCTTTTGTGCCAAAATGTTTGCCATTTCCTGATGTAGTGTAAAAAAAAAATTAAAAATTAGCTAGATGTAGGTATTTTAGTGCCATACCTAAAAGAACTTAAAAGGTTTTAGTCCTAAGCTTCTGCAATATTATGTATAAATGAAATGAAGCAGCATATCAGCTATACAATTGTGTGCATTATTTTGGGTTTCACAAATTCAGATTACTCTACTATGAGAAAAGTGGCAAAGAAAGTGAAAAGTATGTCACAAGCTGAGGACTTCGGTGACCCAAAACCAGCAGTGAAAGACCTCAGAAGAGACCTCTACTCTTAACCATACCTACAAGTGCACACCCCATCTTTAAGACCCATGATCTTTTCCATCAATATAGAAAAATGTATATATGTGTGTGTGTGTATGCGTGTGTGGACACATGCTAGCATATCCAATGCATGCAGCTTATATCAATTATCATAATGGAATTATTTTTAAATTCCTGTTTTCAAAATTTACTATTTCAAGAATTGGATAATATATTGTGCACTGCTGTTTAGACACTGTTTATATGTATGCAAAGGGGTAATGTTTGTAATTAGTAGATTATTGATTGGAAATGGAGCTCATGCATCACAGCCTTACATAACACAGCACAACAAACCACATCAGCGCTGACACATGCTTAAGGACATTCTTAGGATGCACTGTGATTCTGTGTGGTCAGCACCATACAAAATATATTATTCCTCTTCAGGAGAAATAAATTTTTAAAAATTCCCGCTGATCTTTGTGAGAGTGGAAGAATAATACAGAGTACATACTGGTTGCTTTTATAAACCCAGACTATTACATAAAATACATGAAGAGTGGGATTGCTGAAACATAGCTGCAGAAACATTGTAAATAAAGCAAGTGCTAGGGTGAGAACTTGCTTGCAAAAATAAAATAACTCTAACTGCGAGACAGAAGACAGTCATGGATGTTAACTGTCCTCTTCATACCAGGTAAAAGGTGCTGCAACAGGACAGGGGAACGGTAAGGAAGGCAGAAGGGACCAAAGACAATAAAAAACTCAGCTTTAGTATCTAAGCCTTTCCCAGCTGAGCAGGTTTCAATTGCATGTAACAACAAAGGAATGAAAGATACAAATGCTTCCATCTCTTTTGGAAATGCACAGCTGAGCTGCAGGGGGAGTGCCAGGCACACGATACACTTCATGTTACAGGGAACAGACTGGCTATACGGTCAAAGTACATCCGCTGCCAAAAGATGGACAGGTAAGGAATATGAGGTACTCTTTTCTGCATTCAATGTAAAAAAACATGGTAATTCTTTTGTTTTACTTTTTGGAGAGGATTATCAAATTGTGACTTCTTTCTTATACCTGTTAACTTAAAACACCGTTATTGGGATATTGCTTTTTGTCACTGGATGAAAAAACCAACAGGAGCAACAAGCATTCACAAAACCAATTACTGCAACAAAACCAACTTTGTCTCCAAGAAGGCTATACGGCTATTAGCAACTGATCACCTGCCTCTTCTAAAATAAGTACTGTAGTAATAGATGAGAACAAGAATTATTTGACAAAATTTGCCAGCTCCTTTCCCATAGCAACACGTCTCTGCAAAAATGCACACAATTGCCAAAAAAATGTGTTTAAAACATCCACAGTATTATTTTAATGCTCCAACACCCGGCTCTTTTCTGATAAAGACTTTTTTTAAAATAACCTAGGTTTCTCTAGATGATGTTGTCCTTGACAGTGGCAGAGAAAGCAAAGCAACAAGGGAGTCCTCATTAAAAAAAGAAAAACCTTGAAGCCCTTGGCTTTTTGCATTACAGAAATAGAAAAAGAAAAAAAAAAAAAAAAGAGGGGAAAGAATTCAGATACCAGCAACAATTTAAATGTTTTCCTTAACTGTAGTGCAGCCATCTACATCATGCCAGTCCCTGTAAGACTAGATGGTTACACTGTTGGTGAAACACAGTTCTACCACAGGGTATTCGCAGCAAGTACTGTCATCTTCAGGAACACTTGCCCACTGATTAATATTAAACTCTTAATACATCTGACATTGTCTCTCAACTTCAAATACAACCAAAGCATGTTTTCCACAGAAATGTAAACAGCAGCAACTATTCAGAAGTGTAAAAAGCAAAATCTTTGTTTTTCTTAAAAGGAATTATCACAGATTCATGCCAAAATTGAAAGAAAGTTTTTATTCCAATTTTTGTTCATTATGTGCATTCTTCCCTTAATAACTGAAGATTGTATTGGAGAAGGAAAAAAGTAATGTGAAAAAAAGGCTTTTTTTTTTTTTTTTAATTACACCATGACTTTACTTTCCCCTGTTTACAATTTTAAAAATAGCTTTGGAGAAAAAAAGAAAAAGTATCCATTAGGGCTTTGATGTTTGTTTAAACAATCTCCAGCACTTAAAAATGTAAATAAATCTAAGGGAAGTCCTTGTCAGAACTGATCAGCAGCTCTCAACGAACTTGTTTTGGACACTAACAGTACATCATGACAAGAATTGTCATCACTGTTCCTGGTGACAGAAATGTTAAATAAATAAATCACTAAATCTGTTCTGACACAGGTTAATGACTTCATAAATGTGGATAAAATTTCTCTATTTCATAACACAATGCATTCCATCCTCATTTAACAGCAACTACCAATCTTGAAATATTTCCTTCTGAGACTTCTGATCTCTGGCACTCAAGTTAACTTAAAATAGTACACTATAAAAGTCATGAAATGCTTACATGGTAAGATATTTCCATTTTCAAAAGAAATGCACTTTTTATTAAAAAATCTGGGAGGGAAGCAGTTTACCAAAAAATAGCCTGGTTTTACAAGCTGTGCTGGCAAAGAGTCCAGGACAATAAATACTCCAGCCAGCCACAGTCAATATGGTTCATGTGAGGTTACAGGGAACTACAAAAGCACAGAGGAATGCTTAATCCCGACTAATACTGCTGCAAGATGGAGGTAGCTCCACTAAAATGAATGATACACCAACATGAAACAACAGATCAAGTTCCAGTTTGAATTAACTGCAGGAAAAGTGTGACTGGGAGAACTGCAGGTATGAATGTGACACACTTTTCCTACAGATATGTAGACAGACAAGAGCCAAGAACCTACCTGTCTCTTGTCATCCGGTGCTTTAAGGAAAAGTGCATTTATTACTGCAATGGTATATGTCTGGATTTCTTGGTCTGTCCTGTTCAGAACAAAATGATAAACTTGAGAGAAGAGTATGAATACACACGAGCTATAGAAACTGATTTTCCAGTTGCATTACTGCAGGTAGAAATGGAGGGACTGTTTGCACTTAATGTTAACCTTGTAAAAGTTAGGTAACCAAAGCTGGTCATGACCAGGTTGCCTCTATTATTAAGAGAGACAAAGTGTTCCAGAAGGAGACTCAACATTCAAGAAAGAGAGAATGAATCCCACCCTTGAAGTGCCATTGACCCTCCACCAATCAGAGTGGAAGCCCAGACAATCAGCTTCTGCCAGATGTCCAACAGCTACAGGTAGGAAAAGGAATCTTCCTTAAAGGGCTCTGGAGATGAACCAGGCAAATGGAAAATATCCCAGCTGGGAGGCAAGCGTAACTATACACAATACACTACCTTCTGCTACAAGAGGCAGCTTCCATCTATTCAACCACCGCACATTACTGTTGAAGGAAAAGCCTCTCGCTTTTCAAATATACCTCCAGCAAAGTTGATCATTTTTTCTCTTACATGCTTCCCAGAGGCTGGCAAGCAAAAGAACACCGCTGTATGCTAATGGTGTTAAGCATTTTATTACTACAGGGTGCTCTTCTCTTCATTCTCCACTTCCAACTACACGGGCAGCTTAGCACAAAATAAAAAATTAATTTAAAAAAAATAATACTTGATCAAGCAACTCCAGAAAGCTGGTTACCAGTCATCCAGCCACTTACAGTGGATGCAGAAGTCATACAGGAGGTTGGCAGTCATTATACCACTCTTTTTCCAAATGCTGTACTCATCTGAGGGGAAAAAAATAAATCCACCATATCAGGTGGCAGTCGAAGACACTCACCCCTGCAGATGTGGGATTAGCTGCCCAATTGTGATCTCCTGGGCCACCTTCTGGTACAGATCGTGACTGTTGAGCACCATCGATTCCAGGATTGCTAGTGACCGTTGCAAGATGGAGATGTCAGAGGCAAATTTGTTGACATAGCTTGCTATCTACAAATTGAAACATGCAGAGAATTTACATTTTATCATGAAAATTGGGAAACTGAAGAAAGAAAAATGCAGATGTGACTTAGAAAGGCATTAGAATAACATTAATTTCCTCCACATGCCAGGTATCAGTGAAGACCTGAAAGCAATCAACCAGGCACTGCAAAATACCTTCAAAGGACACAGTGGCACAGATTCTTCAGCTGGCACACATCACCATAGATTTACAGCAATATTTATACCACAGAAATATAGGCTTCAACATTACATTATGAACACAGCAAATCAACATTAAAGAACCAGAACAGGTTTGTTTTTTTTTTTTGTGAGGAAAACTTTGGAAAGGACAAGGAGAATGCTTCTCATTCTCTCCAGCAGAAATCTGTGCAGCCAGTATTGTCTCAACAAATCTCTATGCTCGAGGCAACTGTTGCAAAGACAAATTCACATCTAGCTCTCTAGAAAAATATGCTTTTTTTTTTTCCTCTGCAGTTACCAACACCACAGAAAACTCTCTCCAGGTTACAAATTAAAACTCTGTTGATGATCATTTATCAGCACAACTGGTTCCTTAACTCTAGAGTCCACTCTTGTTAAGCATTCATACATTCATAACCCTCACTTTTACTGCAAGCCGCCACAAACAAATGGCACGTTAATCAAAACCAGGTCTGACCTGCTTTCTTTACAGCGTGGCAATGACATGCTGCACGCTTATCTGCAAAGCCAGCACAGCTGTGCAGTAAGATGTGGCATTCTTCCACACACCGCCTAGTTCTCGGACCTGGCTTCCCACGACAAAGATTGACTTGTGCTGACACAGGACGTGAGAATGCACCAACACCAGCACTATCGAGCTGAAAGGTACCCAAGGAAGCACAGACAGAGAGAAGAAATGTCATGTGCCCATAGTTATTTGCTCTTTACAGCCAAATAACAGACTACAGTGGCCCTGTCTCAAGTTTGATGTGTTCCTTCCAGAAAACTTCAAGTCCACACACTTCTTCTGTACTCATGCTACAAGCCACTAACACCATTATAGTGTTTCTGGTTCTGTATACTTGCTTAGCCCTTGGCATCATTTTCCTTTTGGAAGAAGAAAGGCATGCCCTATGCTTGGAAAAGCTGCCTAGCTGCCTGTAAAACTCACAGTTAAATACTGACACATAGACAATGACATTGTTTTGCACTTGTGACATTTGGAGTAGTACTGAAGGAGCAAAACACCCATTCTGCAACTGTGCTTGGAAACCACAGAGAAAGAGGGACAGGTTTTTCTTCTTCTACCCTATCGCAGCGCTGCTGTTTGCTCTGCTGCTTGGTTTGCATTACCACAATAGGAACATGCTGTGCTGAATATAATGCAGTTCACGAAACACACGTTGACTTTACAGAAAAATAAAGAACCAACCCATGCACGCATAGAGAAGAAAAGAGAAGCAACTCAATCAGCCTTTTTCTAACCTAGACTTTCAATATCTACTCTACCTCTCTTAATGGTAACCCAGTTCTTTTTTGATGCACTGCAGCCAGAGCTGCCAGATGTCCAAAGCTCCCAAAAATATGGACAGTGTGCCCAGAGCAGCTCTGCACTGCTCACGCAATAAGCAAACACGTTCCAGATGCCTCACAGTCATCAGGCATCCCTGGATCAATTGTGCAGCAGGAAGTGTCCCAACTTGTCAGACTGCTGTCACCATCCTCTTAAGAAGCCCTGAGGCGTATGAATGACTTGTGGTGCAGCAGCTCCTTCTCATGACATTTCAAGAGGCAGTGTGAATGCTTCACTGGAACAGAATTCATATCAGGAGCCTGCAGAAATGTAACACCATAGATAACCAAAATCTCAGGCTAGGACAGGCTGCCTTAGACATATTTATTCTTCTGATCCTGGACCATAATGTCTTTTAATCATAAACACAGACGCAAGGTATGAAGCTGGGTTGGTGTCTAAAAAGCTATGAGATACCACCCTGAACATCCATGTAAAACATCCGTCAGGTAACCTGCATGTCAAGCTACGTACATTCATAACCACCTTGCTAAAGCATGAAGTCTGGCCAGAAATACTAGGCTTGTCTACCCTGATAAATAAGGCATGCCAGTTCCAAAGGGGGCAAAATTAGATTAAAAATAAATTCCATTACCATACTTGAAGTTCTGGATGTGTAAAAAAACCCAATTTGTTCAGTGAAATATCTGTAACCTTAAGATCTGCATAGTCCTATCAGGACACATATAGCCACATAGAAAAGAAGTGGCTGGGTGCTTAATTTCCAATCGATTTCAAGGGAAATTCGGAATTAAAATGCCTTTACACATTCACCCCCAGCGCTCCGTTGAAACAGGAGCTAAGCATGTAAAGCAGAAATGCAAAGAGAGTTACCAAAAGCCAATGCTGAAGCCCAAGGTCTTGCTGTCTACAATGCAATACTTATGTACTCTGTTTATTTGCTGCAGTGTCACTTCTTTCATCCTCACCTGCAGTATGTGAACGCTAACTCATTAGTGTTCATCATCCAGCTCCACCCCCCTGCCATGGGCAGGGACACCCTCCACTAGCCCAGGTTGCTCAAAGCCTCATCCAGCCTGGCCTTGAACACCTCCAGGGATGGGGCATCCACAACTTCCCTAGGCAGCCTGGGCCACTTGCCTCACCACCAATTTCTTTCTAAAATCTATTCTAAATCCGATTAAAAGAAAAAAAAACCATGCAAGGCAAAGAAATAAACTAAGAAAGGAAAAAACCCCAGTGAGACTGCTCTCGTCATCAGCAAGTGTCCCAAACCCTCATGAGATGCCAAAACAGGTGCCTGAACTAGGGTCCTCCCGACCTCAGAACCCAATGGAGCCCTAAGGCAGCCTGGAATCATAGAATGGCCGGGGTTGAAGAGGACCTTAAGGATTATCCAGTTTCAGCCCCCCTGCTGCGGGCAGGGTTGCCAACCACTAGAGCAGGCTGCCCAGGGCCCCATCCAGCCTGGCCTTGAACGCCTCCAGGGATGGGGCACCCACAACTTCTCTGGGAAACCAATCTAGAGCCATAAAGTAATCTAGAATGAGCTCCAGAATCATATCTGGAACCATAAAGAGATCCAGAAACAACCTTAGAATCACAAGGCATTCTCGAACGTGCTCTAAAATAATATCTAGAATCAGCTCTAGAAACACAGGGCTATCTAGAACCTGTGCTAGGATTGTATCTAGAACCCGATCTAGAACAATGGGAATTGTGTGCGGCCCACTCTAAACTCATATCCGGAATCGGCTCTAGAGTCATACCATTATCTAGAACCTGCTCTAGATTCATATCTAGAATCAACTCCCAAACACGCCCTACAATCATATCTATATTCAGCTCTAGAATTTTAAGAGTTACCTAGAACCCGCTCTAGAATCGTGTTTCTACTCCTCAGATTAGCACTGCAATCCCTTCCTCAAAGTCTTCTTATTTAAAAAGATGTAGCATTGGGTTCCTCTGTCTAATGCCATGTACCCAGGAATAATTTAAGCCTTTTTAGCAACCTTTTGCAATATTGCAAACTTGCCGATAGGTCCCTTGGCTGGTTGGTGGGTTCCTATTCACCATGAGCCATCATCACCTTGAGCTCTCTTCCTGTTTCAGCATCACTTAAAGCACAGGAGAGAATTCAAAGTTAAAAACCCCAAAAATTAAAAGAAAAAAAAAACACAAAAAAACACAAACAAAATAAACTCTGTCACCAACAAAAACCACACAGGGAAAGAACAGCGAAGGAAACAGATCTGCTTTTCTGAGCAGTGGTACATTCATTAGTAAGTTGCCTGGGCCATTCTGATGTCAGAAACATACAGAGAAATCTGGCACACTTTCATTCTATGTTAAGTCCTAACACATACTAAAATTTGCAAGTACACATCTCATTTTCAAGAAAGGAGCTAGAGTTGCACTTGACTACAGAAAAAACAACTGACAGTTGCGAGACAAAGAGAGACCTTCCCTGCTGCCACCTCCTTTTCCTGCACAGTACATTTTAGAAGGTAAAAATTCATCAAGGCTAAGACTCTGCATCACACAGTTACGAAATAGCAACTATATAAATAATTCTAAGAGATATTTTTAACTATCTCAACCAATATTACAAACTTTATTTCTCCTCTTGGAGTATCAAATTTGTATAGTGTACTTTGATATCCATTTACCATGACATTTTCTAAGAACTGGGTATTCAAATCCTTTAGGCAACTATTGAAGCTGGAAATAAACTTTATTGTCACAAGCAAGAAAAAGCTCTTGAGAGAATCTTGCATATCATAGATTTTCTTTCAAATTATGCTATTTTCCCTTAAGATAAAGAACAAAGCTCTCCTTGAAAGTGTTAATTCTTATTTACAGCAGTTGGAATAGCAGTCTCTGTGTACCCAAAGGATGGGAGGGAGACTGCATCCAACACCACGTAGTTACTCATTAGAAGCAGTTAAAGGTTCCCCTTGAGGTCTCCTCCAGCTTCTACATTTGAAGTTAGAAAACTATTCAAGAAAAAAGTCCAGATTAATTCCTCCCCATTCCAGTCTGGCTTCCATTTAACATGAAAGACAGCTTCAAAGGGCAGAAGTACTTGATGGCAAAGTTCCCCCTCAGCTAGCAGAAATTTATCAGCTCCCTTATCCATCCCTGTGAACCACTTCAGCTAGCCCATCAGCAACCTCAAGTGGCCTGTCAAAAGCCAAGGTCAGAGAAGCAAGTGAGAATAAAACTGCAGACTGTCACCAGAGAGACATGGTCCAAAGGTGCTCCTTTAGGTTTGGACCTTGGCCTCTTTCTTGTCCACCTTTGGTGTTTATTCACTAGTTTTGGGTTTCCATAGGTGCCTGGTGAGAATGCTTTTGTTTGTATCTTTTGTTTAGTTTTTTAAATTGGGTCACTGCCCAGGGAAACCTACAGAAGTGCCAGACAGAAGAGATGAGCCATTAACGAGGGCAAGGGCACACAACACTTTCTTCTGCAGTTACTATACAACCCACAGGGCGAAAGATGCTGAAAAGCTTAGACAAAGACAATCATTTTGAGTCACTAACAAAGTAGATTGATTTAAACTCATTTTAGCAAGTTTCTTCATACATTTCTTAGTAGGCTCCTCTAGCAAATAAGATATTCTGGTCTTGGACTTGTATCTCATGAAATCAGTGAATAAACAGTTGTATTATTTTCTTTGCCATGAAAAGATAACAATCATCATCATTATCATCTAGCTAGACTGCAAGACTGTATAAAAAAAAACCCAAGATCAATTACACTAATTTTTCTTACAAATAGCAGGCACCATTTTTAATGATCAAAACTGAACTTTAATATCTAATGCCTTTTTCATAACTGACTCTTCTTTCATTTTTGGCAACGAAAGTAAATTTGTACTTTCCTTTGGTGGTAGCAATTTTCTAACCAAATTTAAATTAAAAGTCTGTTAAAATGAAGAGATCTTTGTCACAGGTAACACTTTTTCCATTACTGCTTCTGGTATCATTTTAGTCAAATACTCTGACCTCTTCTGAATCTATTCAAACACACTTTAACTCCAGATAAATTCTGAGCTCAATCTGGTTTGAAAATTCTTTGTAAAAAGGTGTGGGGTCTTCTCCCCACCACAGTAAATGAAAAGGGTTAAATCAGTAAGAAAAACTTTTAAATTAAGTCTGTTAAATCTCTGTACTTAAAGAGTAGTCTTGCATTTCTGTGGCTTTTGTGCATCTCCTACATGTAAGAAATTTTTTTTAAAAATGCAAATTTTGAAAAGATCTGTTTCAAAACCACAGATCTCGGCTGCAAGATTCAGGGGGGGACAGAGCTGAACTTGGTGAATTCAGTAGATAACAGCTGAATTTCAATTTGTGAAGCAACTCAGTTGTCTTCCTCCCGTATCGCCAGAGGAAACGTTTTAGTTCTGCTTTTGTTTCAAGAAATATGGTAGTACTCATTTTAATTTACATTAAATCAAAATACTAATTTTTGGTTTAACTGCATGGTATCTGCACAGGGAGGTTACACCATAACTGAGCAAGCATTTTCTTGTGTCATAAGCCTAATACAGCTTTGATCCCATTTCACTCCCATTGATTTCTGTAGAAGATGGGTCAGATCCTGCAACTACAAATATTTATAGTTTGAAATAGCCCTTTATTCCCATTTTCATGTACCTTTTTGACCAACAACCTAAATAATGTACCGGGGGGGAACCAAAAAAAAAACCAAAAAACAACCCAGCAACTTGCCTCCAAAATTTAAACTGATATAGAACAAATAGCATTGATTACAAATTTACCTTTTTAATGAATGCCACAGAGAATGTATCCCACGATACAATCCCATGATCCATCAGCTCAACAAATGCAGTCAGTGTAAAGGACAACATATCTCCAAAGCTGCAAGAGACAGGAGTCATGACAACATTTACCAGTGATGCCAGCAGGGCAATGACGGAGGGAATAAAGCAGCAGGAAGCTTTCAGAAAGGCATGAAAATGAAGCCAATTATGGACTAAGAGGCAGCAGAAGAAGAAGACAGGCCGTGCAACAGCTAGTCTCTGAAATAATTTAGCATGGACATCAAGAACAGTCACCTGGAAGAAAGTAATTTTGTAAGAGAAGAACTAATCCCCAGGAGAACACTACATGCCCAAGGAAATCAGAGAGTCTAAATTAAACTTCTCTTATAAATTGAGAGTTTTAGATCTAACAGAAGAAAAGAAGTGAGCTTTTTCTTGGCAACTTATGGAAATGTTCCTAATTGAATGTCACACAGAAGTGCCATGTTTTGGGACCTCTGTATCAAGCAGATTGGCAGAAAGTTGGTGGATTGTTTGTTCCTTCTCTTACAAGGAAGCAGATATATTTTAAAAATGAACCAGAAAAGATTTTCTACAGAGCAGAAATTTTCAATTTCTGTATTTGAACCTGAAGATGCATCTCCTTTTATTTATCTATGGGCAACCAAGCCAAGCAAATTGCAAAGTTCCCATCTTTTACCCAAGCACGCAGCTCAAATGGTTTAGTGTTTGCAGGCCACTACACTGTACTTTACACCTGGGAATTTACACTTGTAAATTTGAGATTCAATGCATTTTTTGGTATGAATTAATTTCAAAACGGTTTTAAACTCAACAGAAGTAATATGCTCTATTAGCTGCACAAGAATTTTCCGTGTTAAAAAACAGCTTTTAAAGATTCGCTTCATTTCTATATATAGTCAGGGCACCAAAGAGTCAGCGGCCATCATGATTTCAAATGAAGCCGTTCTCAATCCAAGCAGCAGTGCAGAGCCTGAAACAAAGCACCTTACTACCTTTAAGGACATGCCAAACCGCCTGCAAGGTACTGTGCCACTAAGCCATCAACAAGCACAAGCGTACAACCAATCTAAACAGCATGGATAGTCCCAGTGATTTTAATGCAACAGCTTCCCTAATAAAAAAAGATTTTTAAAAAAAAACCCTCTGCCAGATTGGAACTGCAATGCTCAGTAGGTTGAAGACCTGAGTCTAATACTATAGCCATAATTAAGCAATGTAATTAGTAATCCTTATTCTGTCCTGCACCAATCCAATGCAACTAAGTGAACATTCACTCATGTGGATGACGTTTTCAGCAGTACAGAGGAATAAGACAGAAACTCGGTTTCAATGTAGAGACTCTTAATAGCCAGTTTACTGGATTTGATATCATCTGCCATTTAGGGATTTCTTATGGGGAGATACAGCCTTTAGTGGCCCTTTAATTTAAGAAAGGGGTCTTGTTCATCAACACTCCACAGATGCTCTCCACTAAAAATAATTTTGCCGTTCTTGACATTTCGTGAGTAAACAACTACAAAACACACCCTTCTCTTCCACAACAAGTAAGGGTATCCACAGTGGTCTTGATTATTTATGACAAAATGAAAAAAATGCGCCAAAGACGAAAGAAGAAAAATACTGCGTCTTGAAAAAAATCCACTGTAATATCTGGAAGTTATCCTTTCTTTTGTTCAGCAAATACATGATCTGGAAGGTTTTGGTTTTGTTTGGAGGGGGTAAGGGGGTTGGTTTTGGTCACTTGGTTTTTAATAAATCTAATTTAATTTTTAAAAGATTTGCAATAAGATGTCATCATTAGCATTCCAAATAACCAAGGATTTCATAACAAGGCGACAATGAGACTCTACGGAAAATTTAGACAGCTTCTGCCATTTCCCCCAATCGATTCCTTTTGCATAAAATGGTTATTTATAAACCCACAAATAAAACAGCACCCCTAGGAAAGGCTTCCTTCTAAAAAACTTGTACCAAATTCTCATGCATCTTCGTGACAGAACACTTCCACAAATATATGAAATTCTGGAATTTCAAGAAGATAGACTAAATTAGATTCAAATAAAAATTAAAAAAAAAAGAGAAAAAGGCCATATAGGTTGAGGAGTAGATAAAAATACGTCTCTCAGCATTAAACTATGCAGATAATTTATCTCCTCTAGATTTTCTCATATATTGTTTAAAAATCTGCTAATTAACCTGGTTTTAGTACATACTATTCTATTAACTAACTGTACATGAAAGCTAATACACATTAACAATAGATATAGATTAGAGGGATTATTTAAACTGCATTAAATCTGCATATGGATATTCACCTTCAGAACAGCAGTGTCTGGAATGTAAAGGAATTAAACAAACTGGAATTCAACGGTCTCACTTGGTCTTCTTACCAAAACCACTGACTAATCCTACCAATAAATCCAGCCTCCTCCACAGTTTTGGAGGGGAAACTGGGTTAATGGAGCCGAAAATATTGGTATTAATGTATAAACCTGATTTTAGTAGATGTAACGATAATACAACAGTTCAAGCTTCAGAAGGGGAAAGTACTTTTCAACTTGAATTCTCAGATACCTCACCAGGTGTCACTCCAGTGACACTGCTTCAAATAATTAATGAGAGTGAAGAGGTGCAACACTGGGACTAATCAAGCAGCAAGAAATATTACAACTCTATATATTATGCAGCACCACGCATACATACCATGTATTTTTTTTTACTATATAGCTATACGTACGCACCTGCACACACATGTATACACCAAGTGGCATTGCAAAAGTCAAAAGCCAGGCTTAAAAGATAAGCATTAGGAATAGCACAGCTAGAGATGAAAGCAGTCTCCAGGGGAACTCGAGCAAGATAAGGATTAAAGTATCTCGAGGGGGAAGCGAGTAGTGTTGATTCATTGTTATGTGTTTAAACACAAGCAGATAGGTAGAAATAGAATTACAAGCCATTCATTTCCAGACACACATGCACAGACACACTCATACTATTAAGATCAGCAGACAGAATAGATGCGAGAAATTTCAAGGGAATCAGAGCTTGTTCATAAAAGGAGTAATCTTAGAAAATACCTGGTAGCAGCTATTTAACTCGAAATCTCAGTAAGTGGTTTTTGTCATACAAAAAAGTCCGACAAATAATGGGGTCTCTTTCTTCCTAAAATCTTTTCAGACTAATCCACAGCACAAGGCACACCAGCTCTGTAAATATCAAACCCTTGCTGCTCCGGCAAAATGACTTAATAGTTTGAAGGCAATTCCTGATGAAGGTGCTTTTAAATGTGTGTGAGCACAGCAGGAGGGGAAAAATGATCAGAAAGATGCACTGTGTAATGGCAATTTCATATCTCACTAACACGGACATTTTAATGATCTAGGCTCTCAGGAACGGTACTTGCACAATCCCTCCTGAATGCTGTGCAGGGTTCCGGCTCTTGGGTGGGGACACCCCACGTTGGGACAGCTGATGAACTTTCCCCGTTCTCTGCTGGCTGACTCCCCTCTTCTAACCACTGTTGTGAGGGTGGGTGAGCTGGTCACCTCTAGGTTTTAGAGAAATATCAGGTCAAAGCCTGTTAATTTACGTTCCTAAGAATTTTCTGCATTCTTACCTTCAGTAACTGTAAAGAAAAAAAAAAAAACCCTCCACACATTTTGATATGAGCTTTTCATTCTTAAAAATAAAAATGGCAGGAATGTGCATGTGACCCTGACCACCAGACCTGTCTCTCACCTGCCTTCTGAGCATCATTTCTACATGCTAAACCATCTTTTTTCTCATGGATGCTAAGTAATCCTCAGAGGTACACATAGAACTATGTCTGATAATTTGAAAGATGCCTAAAGTAATCTGGCTTTCTTATCAAAATAAATTAATGGGGCTTGAGGTCCCAAATCCCTTGGATGTTTTTAAAAAAAAAAAAAAATCTCAATCCATGTTTAACACACATACCAAAATGAACATGGTATTGCTATCGAGGAGGGAAAAATATTCACCTGTTCAAATATTCCTTTAAATGGAGGTAATTTTTCATTGGCAAAACAGAACCAAAGCCTATCTCTAGTTGTGGAGAGGGAAGGCAGCAGCAAAGAAACAACTTTCAAACGGGGCAGGAGGCAACAAGAGAGTAGCAGCCTACTACCAAAGGCAGGCGCTGGGGAAGTTTTACCTTTAAGTCCCTTATCATCCAGCAACTGTGCCCACAGCCTAATACTGGGCAGCTGAAAGGCCTGACATCACTGAGGTCAACATCAAAGAGTCAGAACGGCTTTTAAAGTGAGAGTTGTCAAAGATAAATGGCCATGAATAAATTTAAACAGGGGAGCAGTATGTATCTAATCATCAGAGGACAAGAGCTCTGGAAAAGCCATGGGGGCAAGAACCTAAGTCTAAAACGAATACTGATGATGCAGCAGGATGCTCTGCAAGCAGTCTGAACAAGTACCTTTTTTATTGCTATGGCTCCTCTTCACTGCTCCTACACTGCCCTGTTTCTTCAAGTCACCTTTCCAAGGGTGAAGCTAAACCACCATCAAACCCAAGGAGGAGCAATTCACACCTACTTGGTACTTACTCGGTCCAGCTGAAAGTGACTGAACAATCTGCAGAGTAGCTGCCCCTTTTTTTTCTAGATGATTACAGAAAATGCACTTAACTGCTACACTGCAAACTTTTTTTTTTTTTATTTTTTGCATGGTGCCAAGCACCACGGAAATATTTCTTTGTGGTACAGTTGCACTGCTTTCACTACAAAGGATCAGCCCTACTGACTTTAAACCACTGAGATAGCTTTGTACCCCTGGTATCACGGCTTCTCTAAGCTTCAAAATTAGCTCTGATTAAAGAAATCAAGCTGTGAATTTTAAACAGAACTGTAACTATTCTTGAATAAATCCAGGTGTAGATGCTCTTACTACGGAGCATGACTAAATCCACTTGGAGGTACATTAAGCATTTGTCTGCAGGGGAAACTAGCCCAGAGGAACTATCACACAGTGGTTCTTCATGAATATGTGATTAGAATTACCTTTTCTCTTATTTCCCATCTTTTGCATTCCTGGTTTTGCTGTTTCATGGTAATTTCCTCAAATGGACCAGCTTTTCTTAAAAACTAACTGCACAGGAAAAACATCCCACTGCAATCAACGCGGTTTGACTGCAATTCAGCACCACAGCACAAAGGTCAATTGATAGAGCTGTTTCATGGAATTTTTTTTTTTCTAAATCCAAGTATTAGCCAACATGGGATAAATAAAATCCCCAAAACAAAATTTGAACTCCTAAAACTGAAAAGACAGAGAAAAAGAAACTCATGTTTTAGAGGAAGAACTTCCTTCAGTGGAGAAAGCTATTAAACGAGGCCCTTGTGTGACAATCAGGTTTTGATTAAGTCAGGCTAGCATGTGCAAGCTACCAGACATAAAACTAAATACTAAATACTGTCATTTTATGAAATGTGTCATCCTGTAAGTCAAAAGTAAATCTTTATTTTAATTAGCATTTGGTTTCTTTAGGTTTCTTTATCAAGAAGACAGCAGGTGGAAGCTGCAAAGTTTTAAAGTTTAGTTTAGTTCATTATATCAAGCCCTGAGGGTTTTTTAATAGCTCTGGTTTCATTGGACCTTTTCCTATTAATACATGGTTAAAAAATAGGCAGGATGTTCAATAACTAGTGCATACACTTTACCTTCAAAATGTACAAACAGGCCAGCTTCCAGAACTATTAGTTTCACATCCTGACTAATGACTCTGGTTTCTTTTTAAGTCCCAAACTCAAAATTTGTGTTATTTTAATTGTTTCATTTCATGTACTACTGATGGAAATGAAAATACTAAACTGTGTGCCCCAATGTAAACTGAAGCTTCTACTGGCAGGATTTAACTTCCAAAGTTAGAATAAACTTCAGTCCCATACACTTTCTATACTACTGTATCCACTGATGTGCCATACCTACACTGATCAATAAGAATTCTCTTAAAGTGGACAATGCCTTGTTCCTATGAACAAAACTAAACCGTGTAAAAAAAAAAAATCAAATCATCACAATTATCAGGTCCTAAAAGTAGGGTGCAATGCAACTGTAAGTCAGTACTTTAGTACTGTCTTAAGGACCATCACATAATTTAATGTAGAGAAGCATACAGGATAACCAAATTTGGAAGCAAAGATACGCTGAAGGAATGTAACTATTCTTCCACAAAGAACTATTTCCACAGCAGTGAGGAAAAATCCACCATCTAAGTGCACAGGAGCTACCTTGTCTCAGCAGGGGTGATGCTGCCAAGAATTCTGAAAACCTCATGCCATTATATAATCATCTTCCTCAGAATCTGAACTTTTCTATTATGAAACAAGTTACTTTGGATGGAGACTGCAAGTGTAGAGGGAGGATTTAAGTTTCCTGCCAAATTTATTCTTACTGTCTAATTTATTTATTAGGCAATGATTTTAAAACAAATGTTTCAGAACTTGGTTGACAGCAGATTTGTGAAAGTATGATTTAGCATGGATTCGGATGGGGAGCTGCCTTTCCTGAACGATAAACCACACAAAGCTCTCTGAGTGACAGACTTGCAGTTAATTGATTGTTATTCTTTTACTTCCTTGAGCTTTAGCTATACTTCAGATGTCAATTTTGCAAGCCAGTCAAGATTAGAGTACTCCTGGGGTCCCAATTTATCAAAGCCTATGAAACTCGTGCTTAACTTGAAGCACACAGAAGAGTTCCACTCAAAATCACCAGGGAAATAAGCATGCTTCTGAACTTTCTGATGAGGCCCTTTACTAGGCTACAGTTTTCCTTTCTGCAGTCATCTGCAACAATTAGCATTACCCGGGACTAGGAAATAATAGGAATTCAAGTTGGCACAATGACTCTTACTTTCATCTCACTGTTGATTTTCAAAAATTGCTGATGTTTCAAACAATTAAAATTGCCTCCTATCAACCATGTATGGCCACATGAATCTAAGAGTAGCATTGGGGAAGGCAGGGAAACTAGTTGTTCACTCAAAAAATTAAAAAAAACAAAAAACAACCACACAAAACAAAAGCCTTACTTTGGAAATAGTGGAAGCACCTGCAGAAGTTACAGAAATGAAGCAGTCATTCCACAAGCAAAGCAAAAAAGGCTTCATCAGAAAACTTTAACAAGCATCAAAGAGCAGAAAACAGAGAAGGCTGAAGACTTGCGGAATGGATAGGCACAGTTGTATTTACGTGTAAAGATTAGCACAAGGGCCTGAACTTGAGTCATGCAAAAGAAGAGGTAGTGTGCAAGGTGAGGATCTGATCAGGTTCTTACCAGGGCTTCATTATCTTCTGCAATTTCTGATATCGTCTGCAAAATTAAAACTTGCACGTGAGGAGACACACTTTAAAACATCTGTACTCTATTTACCTGCACATACACAGACCCCCCACACACCCCCATCCTTGATTCATAAAATCCAAAGACAGACACACAATAAGAGGCAGTAAATTACTAACAACTTTCTGTGAATAGAAACAGTTCAGTAGCTGATAAAGAAAATTCAAAATTAATTTCAAATATTTGTTCAGAATACTTGTGTTAACTTCTGTTAGGAAAAAATCAGAAGAGAAAAGACAGTTGATAGGGGAAATATATCAGATTTCTCTTAAACCTGTTTCTCTTGACCATTAAAGCGTACCTAGGCATCCTAAATTAGTATTTTTGTAAAAGAAGTCTTCGGTACAAAACAGCAAAGGTTTACATATTAACAAATTTCTGTGTCATTGCTATGCTGAAAAACTCTTTTATTTACTTCCCGTCTCCATCATTAATACTGACGTGAGAGTTGTCAGCATGGCTGAAAGCTGTTGGGTAGCTCGGACCAGACCAAAATCATGACCTTCTGAAGTCAGGGACAAGTTTTCTGCTTGACTTCAAAGGGAGGCGAAGAATTTACCCTGGGTTTTTAACCACAGAGTTGCATTTACTCAACGATTCAAAACCATCGTGCACTAGCTCCAGGACACGTGAATACAGCACAGCAGTCTTATTCCAACAGAACGCGTAAGCTCACGCATAGCTCTTTTGCTCTTAAAATTCACACACCAATGGACATGCCTAGACCCAACGTGCTGAATCAATAAACTTCAGAAAGAATGTCACCTATTGATTCAGATTCTAAAGAGGCCAAGCTACACACCCACCCTTCAGTGTGATGCTCTTGCTTTCCTAGTAGCTTCCAAAACACTTGGTTCCTAGGTGCAAAAGGTTGAATTTTTCATTCAGGCATTTGCTATTTTTCCCCCAAGATATACATACACAGTGTCTCATCGGTGAACCAGAAGCTACGGCATCACATTACTGGATTCAGAAAACTGTAAGCCAAATATTAAGAGGGAGAGAGGGTGCGGCAAATAATGAGTGCATTGGAAAGCTGTAGGCTGCTCCTCACAATTTGCAAGTCATTCTCCTGCTAATAACTGGCTTTAGAACTGCTGATTATGCTACTAAGCAAGCTGAAGACAAACACTACAAAGAGTAAAAATGGCATCCAAGATAAATAACTTCTTTTTAAAACACCACTTAAACAACAACAACAAAAAATATATCCATCTCCTACTGGTTAAGTGCCTTCTTGTGTCTCCTAAATCTATTTCACAGTTCTATTTCAGCAGGTTGGCTGCAGCTCCATGCTGGGCAGCCTCCTGTTCAAAAGCAGAACAAAGACGTCCCTCCTCCTCCCTGTCTCCTTCTCCCCAGGTCTTCCCTTTGGCACTTGCTGCCATGCCTTCAACCCACAACAGTTCCAGGACTCCAAGCTCTCCAACTGCTCATTCAACTCTCTCCCAGAATTTGGCTAGATTGATTTTTTTTTATTTCCATTTTGGTACAGCAGTAACTCCTCCCACCTCGCATTTTCCATTCTGTTTATGCGTAAGTAATGTTGTGCTTTCTACAGATACCACACGAATCTATGTATGGACTCTTTTCAAGAAGGATCAGTCTCAGGGAGGGCACGTTTGGGGCTGGTTCTTTTATTCTAAAAACAGCTATCTGTGTAGCCAGTAGTAATGAGCAAATAGAACACATCCTGAAGATCAGACAGCCTTAAAAAGGGGAGAAAATTACCCTCAACGTGCTTTTAGGAAACAAAAACTTCAAAGCATTTCCCACAGTAGGAGATCCCAACTTCAGTAGAAGTGCTGTGCTTCTGCAAAGACTGCTATACCCTAACAAGACCAACCACCACCACAAAGGGGTTTTGTTATCTCGCAAATGTGTGTGGATCCAAGCAACCTGACACAGAACATGGCAGCAAAATTTCATAGCATCCTTCTAAGTCCAGTTTTCAAAGTAGTTGCTTTTCATCCAGGTGCTGGATTTGGCTAAACAGCAAGTAAACTTGAAATTGGTGCTGTGCCCATCTCGCATCAAAGAGAAACAGGTGTGGTGTTTGCAAACTGGTAGCAGTTCAAAGGGCAGACTCAGTTTTGACAGAGATTTTTCAGAACAGGCTATGATCAGATGCATCTTCTCCACGACTGAGCTCAGGCATTAAAGAACAAACATCTGAGTCCTAGAACAACACAGTTGGACAGCAACTCTCTCAGCATTTACAGAACTCTTATCCATCTTAACTATCAATTAGTTAACTTGAGGTCAGAAGGTATGCAATGTAAAAGAGAATATAAAATGTAGAATAATCTGGAGAAATTCAGAATTATACAAAACTTTTCTGGTGAAGCAATACAAAGACAGCAAATTTTGACTTCAGAAGAAAGACAACCATTGTATTAGACCAAACAATTGCTACTAATCTCTGTTGCTTTGGCAAGTGTGATAAAGAGCAGCAGACAACCTAGAACATCAAATGTTGCAGCAACATGGTACAGGATGATTGTAGATAGACACTTTTACCACTGCACAGGTGGCGGCTGTTATCTAAAGGAGTGCACGCTATTTTCATCCCAACATTGAACCAAAAACCTGATACAGAAGGACCTGGCATGAGCAGGAGATCCTCTCATGTTCACCCACACACCACGCTGAAGTTACCACTGAAGGAGCAGTCAAGCTAACTCTTCCAGCAAGCCAGCCTGGAAAGGAACAATTACACTCTACCACCTCCAGCAGCTTTCCTCTTTCTATATATACACAACTGTTGTTTCTTCTGGAGGGCTGACTCTGTGGCAGCAACCAGACAGTTCTGTAAAACGCTTCCTGGGTGAGTTACCACAGAGATGGTCAGAAATGCTGGAAGCCTTACTGATCTAGACACTGTAATTAGCTCAATACTTATCTTTTTTTTTTTTTAGAAACCATCCCTCAATTGTACTTGCACAGATGGGAGCAAAACTGTGGCCACAACACAAATGTTATGAGGGTAAATTAAACGGTATTTGTGAACGGTTCAGATACTATAGTGGCGAAAGGCAAAAACAGACAGCAATTTTTATCCAGGGAGAAATCTCAAAACACATGCCAACATAATGCAAAATAAACACTAACAACAAGTTACCAGTTAGACATTTTGCTACCATAGTATGTTCCCTGTTTGGCCTCAGAGGAACTCTGTGATACATTTCTAGCTGAAACTCACGGAGCAGCAGTTCTTTTTGGGCTTCTCCAAGCCATACAGACTTAACACTTGCTCAAATACTGCAGGTTCCGTCACCAGCAGCTTCCAGCAGAGCCCAGGTCAGCAAGGACACAGCTGCATCAGCTCCTATCTCATTGTAATTGCTTTACAAGGACCAAAGGTACACCAAATCTAAACCCCAGCTGGGGTAACACACAGTGCACAGGAAGGGCTTGTAGGATAGAAATACCACTGAGGATACAAGCTTTTATGTAGTATGTACCCACGGAGGGCAATGTTATCCAGCAATGAAGAAGTTAAACTTGTAACCCAGGGAATGTGTGAACAGTAAGATAGTGCAAGTGTATAAATCCCTGATGGGACTGTGACCAGCTGTGCCAGCGCTGTGGCTTACCACCCAGCATCCAGCTCTGCGCACAAACGGACTCAGACAGGACCTCCACCGTGCGTGTGGAGAGACTTGTTACACAGCGGGTGACAGACCCCACTTCTGGGACAAAACAATTATTATCAAAGGCAGAAGATGTTCACAAGAACTTCCTCCTCTACAGAAAAACTGACAGGATGATGGATGAACGACCTGTTAACCACAGTAAATCAGTGTACGGCTGCTGCTTTTCAGGTAAACACAAGGATAGCCCCCATTCTGGCTAACAGGCAGCGTCAGAAATACAGCACAAACGCACAGTAGGATGTACTGCTGGCTTCTGTCTGTAGCCGGTGTGGCTATCACATATAAATGAAGTGTGGGAAACACTCCGGCCAGGAGATTAAAAATTATTCAGACGAAATCTGCAAAATGTCTCTCAAGTTACCCAGCAGCATTCCCACTCCACACGGCTACCACAACATCCCACAGCCACCACGGTCTAAGAGACAAAAGCACCCTAGAAAGTTGCAGAAGTGTAGATTTTAAGCTCTTCTCCTTATTTTTGCTGTTTCCTCAAATACTACACTTTTGTCTGGAGTCTAAAAAAAAAAAAAAAATAATTTTGTCCAGCTTAGTACACTTAAGAACTTTTGGAAACAGAAATCCACTGCTGGAATTACTCTTTTTATCCCATTTTACAAAAGTGGTTGCCAAACAAAAGCCAGTTCCTGTCAACAGGGTGTTGACATCACCACTTAGCAGGGGTCAATTAAATGCTAATATTCTTAAGCATAAGAAAAACAACCCTGGAGAAAAGGCATTTATGATGGGAGGAGTGCAAGGAGCAGCAACTCTCCCCCCTCCTCTCTACAGATGGGATCTTTGATGGTTCAATCTTCAGATGAGGCTTTTCTCTGAAATGTAGAGCGAGCGCTATGTACATGACGTTCATCAGAAGGATATACAAGAAATTGTTCTTATATGTTTTGAGAGGGAGGGTGGCATCCAAGCCTGAAGACTGGAGAAAAACTCAAAAGAGAGCAAGCAGGAGAAATATAAACCAACAACAAAAAAAAATAATCCACCCAGAAAGAAAACCTACCCCACTTTCTTCCTTTATGGGAACTGCACTGAAAGATAGGGCCGCAGACCTTTCTCATTCTCCTGCCATTACCATTCCCACAGTGGTATAACCAAATGACCTGATTTTATATACTCCTTTTGGATTTTTGCCTCATAGACAATAGTCACCCTCTCCCAACATTACGATAGCACCAAGAAATGGAGACTGCGTAAAGCCCCTGTTGGATAAGAATCAATTTTGGCAGTAATGTCAGATTAAGTAATCTATGCTTCCAGGTGAAGCTTCACAGGAATGGCTGAGCCTGTTTAACAGCC